ATATTTCACTTTCACTGGGGGAGGTAGGGGTGAGTGCATATTTACAGAACAAACAAAAGAACTCAGAGGTGCAGAAAGCAGTCAAAACTAGAAATTCCCCCTGCTTTAGCAATCTGCTAATTCAAACGTTTCCATGGCAAATACGGAAATGGCTGAATGTAGCCACAAATTTGGTCATGATTGGATGCAGGCTGGAAAAACATAAAAAATCCCTATTTCTGCATCTAATTGAAATCAGAGATGCATTTGTGTGTGTATTATCTATTCTGCTCGCCCTCTGCTTTTTAGTGCTGTGGTTTTGATGGGGTTTTTTTCTGCTCATTTGTTGATTTATTGCTTATGTTTGCAGGAGAACATACAAGCAGCTAGATAGTCTGAAGTCCATCTCACCCATTTGTCTAAGCACTAACTACCAATGTACTAAAGAGAGGACCAAATAGTCAGCTTTGTTGGCATTTGGGTCACAATGAGCTTTGAATTTACTTCCTGATCCCAACACCTCAAGTTCTTGTATCTTTAGGGTTTTTAAAGAGACAGTAATCCCAGAACCAGAGGGTAGACAAGGTTGGATAGGGCCTCCAGTTCCCTCTTTAAGGCAGGGTTAACTACAGCTCAGGACTGTGTTCACTTGGACTTTGAGTACCTTCAAGCTTGGGGACTCCACAGTCCCCCTGTAGGGACCTCCCTGAGGTCAATCACCCTCATAGTAATTTTTTCCCCCCCTGTAATGCTTAAGTGGAATTTATTTCAGTTTGTGCCCCTTGGCCAGCCTCTGGGCACCAGGGAGAAGAATCTGGCTCCATCACCTCTACTCCCCGCTCTCTCAGGTATTCATACACCTTGATTAAGAATTCCCTGAGTCTCCTCTGCTGCAGGCTGGACAATCCCAGCTCTCTCAATCTCTCCCCTGTACGTCAAATGCTCCAATTACTTCATATTTGTCGTGGTCCCTGAGTAGACTCAGCTTAGTAGGTTCTCATCTCTTCCATCATGGGGAGTCCAGCACCAGACACAGCACTGCAAATGTCTCACCAGTGGAAGAGCATCACCTCCCTCAGTCTACTGGAGAAGCTCTGCCAAGCACAGCCCAGCAGACCACCCGCCACCCTTGCTGCTGGCTGTTCCAGACTGCAAGGCAAGACGTATTCTGTTCTATTGCCATCTATATGGCAGTTGTCTTTTGCCAAGTGGGCAGTTTGCCTTTTATCTCTCTCTTTGAGTGACCACAATCACTCCTCCCTTGGGAGGGGACATCTGCTGATAACAGCTATTGAATGTCAGTGCATGACTGATAAGAACTACAGCATCCCATTGGGAGATGTGAGTCCAGAGGGAGGAGCCAAGCATTCCTACCCAGATATAATCCAGAGGTTTTGAGACACCAGCACGGCTTCTCCACTGGATTCCCCAGAGGAACAGCAGCTGCCTCTTCTTCCATGGATCTTCAGAGGAAGAATGCATCCATCTCTACAGGACCCCTGCTCCAACAGAACCACCCCTGACACTGCAGGAGGGCTGCAGCCACAATTCCAATGGGACTGCCACCAACACCCTGACCCACAGGGTGTCAGGTTGGGTTCTGACTCTGGCAGTGTTGTTCTAGTGTATTGCATTGTTTATTTTATCCTTTTTTTTTTCTTCCCTATTAAAGAACTGTTATTTCCTGCTCCCATATTTTTTGCCTGAGAGCCTCCTAATTTAAAATTTATAGCAATTTGGAACAGCGTGGGGGAGAGGGTTTACATTCTCCATTTCAGGGGGGGCTCCTGCTTTCTTTAGCAGATTCCTGTCTTTCCAAACCAAGACACTGGCTCACTGTCAGCTTGTCCCCAGGACCTCAGCCAGGCTCCATCAGCATCCCAGGAATGCTGATCTGACATACAAATGAAGTGAACATGTTAGAAAGAGGTATTATCTTTTAGTAGGTCGACTCCATGCTGGAAAAGGCAGACAAGAATCCCAACAGGAAACAATTCTTAATGAAATGTACGAATAATCGGTGGAACTGTCCTGAGCCACTCCCAAAGTGAACAGCACAATCTCACAGACTGTCTGGGGACACTTCAGTGAACAGGGAAAGCTTCTGCAGCTTTACTGATAGGATTTCAAGTCGAAGAAGCAAAAATCTTTATCTTACAGGATAGGGCATGTGAGTCCCAACCTACCAACACAAAATGCCCAATTATATTGGATTAAGTTTTTACATTTGAGCCAAGCAAATTATGTCCTCCTGTACCACTGCACAATGCTGTCCTCTCCCAAAGACAAGGTCTCATGCTTGATGGACCACTGCTCTCCACTTGACAATTTCTGTGTCACTCCTGCCTTTATTGATTCAGGCTCCCCATTTTCATCAGAACAAGAAATTTAATCTCGTATTCTTGAACAATGCTAGTATGTCCATTCCAGCCTTTCTGCTCACAGCTGGAATAACCAAACCAGCCCCCAGTCCCACTGCCAACACCCCAGACCTAGCCAGTAGCAGGACACGAGGGCGAGCAGCACAGGCAGAGCTGTGTCATGTGCTGAAGCTGGAAGGGTTCGGCATGGAACACTTGCACCCACTCTGCCCTGGCCCACCATGGGCTTCCTGGTATTAACTGATATTCAGAACTGCCTCACTTTAGACATGACCTGTTTATTTTCTTGAAACAATGCCTGTTTTCTGCTTTTACTTCCTTACACCAGAGAATCAGAGCTTCAGACACTGGTGTGAACTGCTCTACTTGGAGGAGCACATACTTGCCAGCACGAGAGAGCATTTGTAGAGCTGTGGATCTAGCCCTGTTACAACTATTTCTCCAGGCCCTTATCTACTACATGAAGTCCTGAAATATTTAGATAAACACATAGATAAATATAATAATTAATAAATAATCATGTGATAATCTAATAATAAAATTTGACTTTATTAACACTTAGATTAGATTTTATAAACACTTTACTCAATCAAAGATAAACTTAGCAATAGCCAATGGAACAGTAGCACCCAGGCACCACTAGCCAGCTGCCCTCTGGCAGAGAAGCCCCCACATCAAGCTGCATCAACAGCTGCACAGCAAACACTGGGACAAATGATCCTTTCTCTCTGCTCAACACTTCAGCAAGCCCAGCCAGAGTGCTGGGGCCAGTTTTGGACTCCCCAGACCAAAACAGACTTGAATATGATAGAGCATGGTCTGGCAGAGGCCACCAGGATGGTTGAGGGTTGGAGGAGATGCTAAGGGAACGCATGGGCAGCACCAAGGAGTCAAGTCCTTCATGTAGGGGTGATTTACTATTTAATGGACAGCCAAAGAACAATTTCAGATTGTATTCAAACCCAGCATTAGTGTTTCACTGCTCACAAGGTAAAGTGCTAACAGTCATTGTAAAACACAACAGCAAACCACACAGATAACACATCAGAGCCAAGAGGATATAACTCTGGGAACACAGGTTTTGATAAATATAGCTGAACAACCACTGTCAGCAGGCATCAGCAAGAGTGAATTCCATTGTAAAGGTTAAAATGTGTAACCATATCCTGGATTTTTACTGCAGGTGACCTCCAACCAAAAGCAGTGGGTTCCATCCACTAGAGCACAGAGCCAATCACAAGACAACAAAGTCACAGAGAATGGATATGTTCAGCCACAAATTATCTACATTTAGTGGAAATCAGCTCCCAGGTTCCTGGCAAGTGGACAAGACACCCCTTGGTGTCACAGCAACCACCATGCCCAGCACATCCTGTTCAGTTCTTGTGTACTGCAGTGCCTAAGCACAAGTTTCCCAGCTTCAGGTGCAACTCAGTACTTAGACAGTTACACAGCTCATCTTACATTTTAAGTAATATCATACATGTCCCAAACAATCACACAATTATGAGGGCATTACAGTAACACAGAAAGCTGAACTGTAAAGTATGTACACACACTCCAACGTGAAACGCTGCTCTACAGGTATCAGGAACACAGACTTTTGCTCACAAACTTGCCACAAACAAATCTCACAGCCCTTGCCCACTTCCCTTTTGCATCATTAATTGGTGTTTGATATTTCCTAAGACAGTTTCCAACTTAAATTGCAAGAAAATCCATACCAACCTGCAGTTCAAAAGCATATATATGAACTGAGCAACAGATCCAGTGGAAATAGAGACCTCCCTAGAAAAAGACTCTAAAATGCAGAGGTTCGGGCAGGGAATATTTCTAAATAGCACAAATATTGCTAAAGGTATAGAGTTTTTCCTTTTGTTTTCTAAAAAATACTCATTCTGTAAGGTATGGATGTGCCACTCACAGTGCTTTCAACTTTCTGCTCAGCAACACCCTGGAATCTTCAAATTAACCCTGAAGAAAATAGAGCAAAGCTCAAGGAAATACTATAGAAACTAGACCTCCTGAAAAATCAGCATTTATAGGCAATATTTATGGATTTAAGGATTAAAATCCCTGGAACTGCTTCTTAATTTCTCATTTTTATGAGCTCCTGCTTCTCTCTTTTACAAAAACATGCTAATTTTTTCCCCTCTTGCTAATCTTTATAAAACACACATCATTAGTATTGCATGCTTGGTGCTGGATTACTGAATATGCAACACTAACAATACTTCCTGAGACAGAAACCCGAAGGTATTGGGAAGAATTTGCTGTGTATCTACATTTTATTCCTTCTTCAAAGGGTTTATACAACATGGGATTTGGAAATAAACAGGTCTCTTCTGCAAGTGCTCTGCATATGATGCCACTGAGTTTCCCCTCCTCATATATGCCTGCATTAAGGATTACAGTATTTCAGATTCTTTTCAACCCCCAAGCCCCTCCACAGCAATTTCCTCATGCCCACGTTTTCTCCACCACCTAGCATCCCACTCTCCTCTGCAAATTATCTCTCACAAAAACATTGCCAGGTTACTTGCAAGTGGCACATGTTCATTTTCTCCTCCCTTCCCCATGCAAATATCTCCCACAGCAAATAAACCAAAGGGACAGGAAAAGCATAGCAGGAGGTCTTACCTTTTGATGGTCTTCTTTGTTTCGTTTGTAGAGAAGAGAATGTACCCATGACAGCACCCATTGCAAAAGCTACTCGTGAGTTTTTGAGAATTTATTTTGGCTAGGATTTTTTTTTTATTCCTATTACCCCACCCCTCCACTGACAGTGAACAAAATCTATGTGAAATGCCCCCAAGAACAAAACAAAACAGAGAAAGACCAGACAAGAAAGAAAAGAAGGAAGGAGGAGGGAAAAAGCAAAGCACTGCAGCTCGGCATTCAGCAAGCGTTAAGCTTTGAGGGTTTTTTTTAAGTCAACACACATGCACTGACTCACAGCCAGCTGCACTGTTATTATTCAAAACAGCTCCCCATCAAAATTTAAATGCTAGGTAGATTCCCTCAGACCAGAGCTGGCAGCAGATGCATCAAAATATTTACTGGAGCACAGCCACATAAACACACAGGCTAATTCTTCCTCCCGTTCCCTTATGGCTTCAACCAGCAGCCTGTAGGTCTAGCACAGGAGCGCAGCTCTTCCAGTGAATACTAAACTGGAGTCCTGTAGACACGCTGAGGGTCTCGGGGGAAGCTGGGGCTTTGGGCTGGATATCAGCTCGGAATGAATAGAAATCTTCTGAGTGGGAAGCAATAGTGAGGAAGGCATCAAAGCCCCAGCTGCACGGGCTGTGTGCTCCTGCTAATTAAAAGTCTGACAGAAAGGTAGAAAGCAGCAATCTCCAACAGTTTTCTCTAGCAGAAAAGTCAGAGAAAAAGGGGGGAAACAGAAAATTTCACCGCAATCCTTATTCTTCACATCTTTTCTCAAACACCAGAAAGACATGCAAGACAATTAACCTTTTTTTCTGCCAAGTATAAATGTGCACATCCTTTTCAAGGATATTTAAACAAAAAGCTGTTGAAACAAAACTCTACAAACATTGAGTTACTAGGAGGAGGCAGAGCAATTCCCAGCATTTTTTTCAGTTCTGTCATATTTCAAAAAATCAGCTAGACATCAGGTTGTTTTCTCAGAAAGTGAAATAGCAAGTGCTTAGGTACAGAAGGTGTTAAATACACTGAGGCAGGTCTCAAAACCCAAATTAATTGGCTACTTGCATGTGGTGACTGAGATTAGGACAGCATCTGCGCAAACACAGTATTTTTCTGAGGAAATTCAGCACAGAACAAACCACCTCATCTCAACAAGTTTTCTTAGCTTTCCTCTAACTTTGCAGTAGATTCCCTCAGATGCAGATCCCAGCTCCCCAAATGCTGGTGTCCCTGGAGGTACAACCCTGCCTCACCTGCTGTTCACCTGCTGCCAGCATCTGTTTTTGAATGCACAGGTATATTTGCATCCTTAGTGTATACAAGCAAAGAGCTTACCCTTAGTTTCTAGTTGCAGAAGGCATTGCACAAAATAATTTAATTTTTATTGTTTCATAACTCAAAACACATAAATTTAACTTTTTGTGAGAAATTCCTGGGGGAAGGTACTGTTTAAATACCCAAGTCCTGAAATGAAACACATCAGTTTGCAGGGAATTGCCCAAGACTGGGGGCACACAGGGGCCTTTGTCATAGTGGGAGGACCCTGTCCTAGTTTGTGCAACTTTTCCTGCCTTCCATCCAGCCCCTTCTCCTTCCCGCAGGCTGGCCACAGCTGAGGTCCTACTGCCCTTGCTTCTCCACTCATCCAGTTCCCAGTGGGGGTCTCTCAGACTATGTTGATCTGCACCAGGCACTGAACAGCTGTGTGAAATCCTTAAGCTTTTTTAAAATTCAAATATTTATATTTATTTTAATAATATTTTATTTGCATTTACAGAACAAAATATTACATAGACTACAGCGTACATGTGGAAAATCACTGTTCTTGGGACTTGTGCATTCAGCAAAGGCTGGAGGGAGACCAGAGGCTACAGCCAATGTCTCCAAGATGTCAAAACCGGAATATTCAATCTAGGCAAACTGTCACTAGCAGAAGTCAAGTGTTGCCAAGGTGTAAGGCCCCAAACAACTCCACTGATGAGGTTTTTAAAAGGGTTTATGGTTGTTTATATATGCTGACTTAGACACACAGCAGAAGTGCTGACAAGATATTCTCAAGAGATCAAAACAACAAAAAGAACTTTACTGGCAACTTCAGAAAATTGATGAACTTTGGTAAAAGGCTTAGTGCAACATTCAATCAATACAAAACACTTCTCAAAGAATTAACTGGGCCAATTCAACTTAGCAAACTTTGAGCCCATTTGATTCTAAATTCTAAATTAAGAATTAAATTGAAAATTCCAAGAAGAGGAAATTAGGAGAAAGAAAGACAGAAGAGGTATAGAAAAAGACATACATAGCTTCCAGCTCCTGGGTTCCAATGATGTTCCAACAGAAATTCCAAGAGGAGGTAGGGTCAAGACAAATGAGTGCTTCACGCCCTGTGACCTTAAAATACCCCCTGGCCCTTCCTCCAGGTGGGGCTTCGGGTCATTTGGCCCCTCAGGAGCTGTGTTAGGGGCACCAGGGGTTGGGTGTGGGGCATTGCATCCAGTGTGCCAGGATTGGCAGCCACTGCCAGGGTGGGGTTTATAGGGCAGGGTACTGCCTCACTCAGTACATCAGGGATGTACTGAGGCTCTGTCTGTAAACCTGCCTGCAGTAAATTCAGAGTTTGGTTCTGACACAAAGGTGCACCTGTCTTGCTTTGAAAAGACAGGTGTCTGCTAAGGAAGGCAGGAACATCTCTTGAAATAGAAAATGTAAGCCCCCTGCCTCCGAATTATTTTAATGTTGAAATTAAGGGGCTCTCAGGCAAAAATATGGGAGTAGGAATAACAGTTCTTTAGTAGGAAAAAATAAAAATAATAATAATTAAAAACAGCAGTAATACAAAACAACACTGGCAGAGTCAGAATAGAACCTCACACTTTGTGTGTCAGGGTGGTGTCCCAGCCCCATCCCATGGGGGCTCAGCCCTCCTGCAGTGCCAGCTGTGGCTCTGCTGCAGCAGGGATCCTGCACAAGGGGGGAGTTTTCCTCTGCAGCTCCGGGGCTGCTGCAGATGGGCCTGGGCTCCCTCTGGCCATGCAGGGCAGCAGAAAGCTGCTCCTCTGGCAATGCAGGGGGCAAAGGCTGCTGTGCTGTGCCAGGCCCAGATTGGATCCAGGTAGGAATGCTTGGCTCCTCCCCTGGGCGCAGCATCTCCCCATGGGATGCTGGGATTGGATCAGCCCTGCAGGGACACTCAGTGGCCATGGACAGCAGAGATCTCCGGGAGGGAGGGTTGGCTGTGGAGGAGATACAGAAAACTGCCCCACCTGGTTTAACCACTGGCCCATTAACAGCAGACAACTGCTGCCCACTTGTAACAGATGGCAATATAATGCACACCCTGGCCACATCTTGCATTTGCAACTTATGACAGCATCTCAGCACACTACCATTAGTCTAGCAAATTGCCTGGGAGTATTTTGCTTTGTTGTTACTGTGCATTGAACTACACTACATCTGTGCAGGATGGAGCAGACTTTGCTGCAGAGTGGACATAAATAGGCTTTGAAGTTCAGATGTGGCACCTGCCCTAAATAGCCAACCAAAACCAGATTGTACCTGATACCTCACTATAGCTACAGCAATTCCACACAAAAGCAATCTTAGGAAGGGCAGTTGTTCATTAGTATCTATGCAAACAATCATGGGAAATTCCATCATCCCCGTGGAAACCACAAGGTCTGTGACACTTCTGCCAGCAGTCAGTACACTAAAGTCATTCACCAAATTAAAACAAAGACTAAATTGTAGCATAAAGCTCACCACTATAGCATACATACACAAATAATGTAAATTAAGTGGGATTGGGAACAACTGAGAAAGTAGTATAATAGTGTGATCTATAAAACTGAAACTTCCTTCCCATGAGACCCAGGGGACAAAATAAGATTTATTCTACACTGAATTTCACAAAAAGAAATAATTTTAGGTATTTCCCAAACTGTTAAAATCACATTTCCACTAAATGTTTTCAGGACTTCTGAAATCATGAAATCTTAATGGGAGCCAAATTCAACCTTACTCTGACTAAAGGAAATTTTTTTTTTGGGGGGCGGGGAAAGAAGCTGTTTCTTAAGCCAGTTTTTATCTAGATTCAGCTACATTCCTACATGGCAGAACTATATAGAGCTTCAAAGATATGATGTGAAAAATATACTGTTAAGACACTCAAAAATCTTGACAAATCTAGAGATTTCTGCATATTGCAGAGAATCACCTCTTTTGGAGAATAACTGCAGTGTCTCTGTAACACGAGTCTCTCAGCAATACAAGTGAGTATTTCCATCTGTAACTCCATCTTAACTTCATTTTTGTGAGAGAATTCACATTAAGATTACAGCAGATGAAGAATGCTTCCAATAAAAGGAATATATGCTATTCCTGTCCTGCTAGCTGGTGGACTGAATTACTACTGTTACAATTATATAGCAACTCTTATCTTGCTGCTGAAGTGCTCCCCAAATCACATTATTGGTGGCAGATATTTTCAAATTCTGTTCAATACACCCATCCTCTGGAGTTAATAACTAATTAAAAATACTCCATTTCAAGTACACTCCATGCACCAATGGAAGGGTGGAGAAAGCTCTGAGACACACTGTCGCACTACTTCCACTTCTAGCAATGCACTAATGTGTGAAATAACCCCAACTAAAGCAAACTCAACTGCATATATTCAGATCAGAATGTCTGCACTACTTTTCATTTACTCATTTGAGGGTAAATGCTTCAAGACTGAGCTTCAACAATTTGTAATATATCACCTTTAAAGTGCGACTTCCAGACCAGGTTGGACGGGGCTTGGAGCAACCTGTCTAGTGAAAGGTGTCCCAGCCCCTGACAGGGGGTAGAAGCAAGATGGTCTCTAAGGTCCCTTCCAATCCAAACCTTCCACAGAATATGATTCTGTGAGTTGAACAAGCCATGCTTATCTCTCAGGCACGGAAGTACTGACAGGGAAGCTGCCTCCCTGCTGTGCTACCAGGGCCAAACCCTCAGCTGCAGGCAGGAGCAGCTCACCACAAGCTTCAGGGAGCCCTGCCAATTCCACATACACACAGAGGTCAGCCAAATGTTCCCACAATTAGTGCACAGTCCCCAGACAGATATATACGGATAAAAGGAACAAAATTTGTCTCTTGTCTATCGAGCACTTTTCACATATGCAGAAAATTTATTGGTTTTTTGCTGTGCCCCTCTCCTCTATTGGCATCCAGAATGTATTTTCAGGAGTCCAAGAAGTTGAGGCATACTTAGATTAGTGTAAGTAGTATACAAGTTCTGTTACTTGTTACAGGAGACTCATTTTGACCCACAGACTGCATGGACACCAAGACAGGGCATTTATCTTCTTTGGGCAAACCAGATATCTGCTACATCAATCACAGGGTTCCCAGCTGCTGTCTGACTTGTTTGGATTTCTTGCAGGGGAGTCAGTGTTTTACTTGTGTACTGGAAAATGGGTGCTTGATTAACATTCCATCGATCCCTCCTCGGTAAAACCCTGCTGCTAACCTGCACTGAGTGGGAATTTTTTCATCTTTGAAGAGGGGCAGAGTGTCACTGGAGTGCCTCTCAGTGAAAGAAAAGCTACACAAACCACTGCCTTACTATGGAGCCCACATTAACCACCTAGGCAATTACAG